TAAATGGTTTACTATGTGTTAAAAATATGCAGGCTAAAGGTTAAAGTTCTTAGGGTAAAAAAGGAAGAAAGAAAGTAGTGGGGTGTGGTGATACACAACTTTAATCCCAACACTTGGGAGGCAGAGGTAGATTGACCTCTGTGACTTCAAGGGGCAGAGGTAGATTGACCTCTGTGACTTCAAGGTGTGGTAGCACACACCTTTAAACCCAATGCCTGGGAGGCAGAGACAGACAGACCTCTGTGAATTCAAGGTGTTGTAGCACATACCTTTAATCCTAGCACTGGGGAGGCAGAGACTGGGGTGGATCTCTGTGAGTTCAACGACAGCCTGGTCTACAGAGTTATTCCAGGACAAAGATATACAGAGAACCTGTCTTAAAAAGTAAAAGTAAAAATAAAAGAAATAGAGGTAAAAATAAAGCCACATAAAGATAGAAAATACACAGAGAATCTTGATACTGTATGCTACTATGCTCTCTTTGAATTGTTTTAAGGCTGAGGAAGGAGCAACAGCTGCTAAAAATATTTGTTTATAAATGCTGCTGAACTAATTCAAGATAGATATTTTGAAAATATCTTGACTTCGAAATTTGGATCTAAGGTTATGATGCTTTGGAAAAGTTCTTCTTTTGTTTTCACAGAGGATGAGACCCTGTGAATTGCTTCTATCCCAATATGGTATGATAGACCCCATCCTCCTGAAAGGTTGCTATGAACACCCTCAAGAAATTACTTTGCTCAACTGCCGACTGAGATGAATCTAGCACACAGTTTATACCATGAAAGACCTGATTAACAGCGCCCCTATACAGCAGGAAGAAGTTTGGAGAGAAATAACTACGTCCATATTCCCAAATATTGCTTATAAATGTTATTTTACATTTAAAGGGGGATATGATATAGATATGAATAATTTGCATTGGTATGGATTTTAAGGTCAATTTTGTTATATGTATATATATTTCTGATCTTGATTGAGGTATTGTGATTGTGTAGCTCATTTAAAAATGCAATGTATAATTAAGAAATATAGGTTGTTAATGGATAATCATTTATAATCAAGTTTGTAGTCATGTTAGTAAGACTTTCTAGATGTGCATAGATATATTTCAGCTAGGCATTCTTCATATCTTTCAAAGACTACAGAATATGACATTTAATGTTTTAATAACTTGGGACTTTTCATGACAACGAGACACATCTGCTCCTGGCAGCACCATTCTACTTCAAGAGGAAGATGGGCATCAAAGAGGCTCCTTATGGAGTTGGTTAGCCATTTGGGCAAGAAACTGCTCTTGCCTGGACTATTGTATAAACCAGACACAGAGAACCTGCAGAGAGAGGACTGCTGAACTTGCCTAAAGGTGAGATGGTTTTTCGGGGTTACTGATTCATGAAAGAGTCTGTGAGACATTCTGCAGGACACAGCAGATAATGACTGAACTGCCTTTGAAATTTCCTGCTTCATGGAAATGTCTCTGGATACTATGGGCATGTAGGGTGAAGATGGATGCCCCAATGGTACAGAGGAATTTTGGGTGACTGTCCAGGCAGCAAGATGTCTCTGTCATTTCTAGAATTTTGGAAGTTGCTTACTTCTTGTTTACTTAGGTAATATTATATCTTTCTGGAGTCTTTGATGGAGTTGAAGAATGGTTAGTTATAGTTATAGTTTTCCATTATTATGATAAAGATAAAATAGATATAAATATTGTAACTGTAATTCTTACTTGATAACTGTTTTGTTACATGCAATTTTACTATGTTAAAGTGAAAGCCCTTCTTTTTTGTTTAAACAGAAAAAGGGGAAATGATGTAGGTATGTCTTTCTATGTATTACTTTCATTGGTTAATAAAGAGACTGCCCTGGCCCTCTGATAGGACAGAAAATTAGGTAGGCGGAGTAAACAGAACAGAATGCTGGGAAGAGGGCAATGAGAGAGATGCCACGGAGCCAGCCACCAGGTCAGACATGCTGAATCTTTCCTGGTAAGCCACCACCTCGTGGTGCTACACAGATTATTAGAAATGGGTTAATCAAGATGTGAGAGTTAGCCAGTAACTAACTCTCTAGAGATAGTGGGCCAGGCAGTGTTTAAATGAATACAATTTGTGTGTTGTTATTTCTGGGGCTAAGCTAGCCATGTAGGAGCCGAGTGGGATGAAAAGCAGGCCTTCACGCAGCTCCTCGCTACAATCAGCAATGAGTAAGTTTTCTCCTTCATGTCCTCCTCTCAGCTGGTGTTCTGGTCCTCTGGTTCTTACAGTCCCTTCTGCTCCATCTGTGTGGTGTTCCCAAGCCTGAGGTGTAGCAATTGCATTGTAGATGCATTAACTGGGACTAGGGGCTTCACAGACATTTTCTGCATTTTGATCAGTTCTCAAACACTACAGTGGCCTCTATTTGCTTCAAAATGAATTTTCTTTCATTAGGACTGAGACGCACACTTATATGTGTGTATAATTACTTGTATTTAGAATATAATTTAGAAGCTGCACTGATTTAGGAAAGTGGCCACAGTAGGTTCTCTAGGGTCTATAAATTCCTCAGATGTAGGTAGTTAACTAGATTTACATTACTAGGCCTAATATCCTTCCTTGAGTGGACTTAATGTCCGATAAGATAGATATCAGTTTTTACCAAGGTAAAAGTGCTACTACTGCATCCTGGTAGATATCTTGCCATTGAGATCATTCTTCTGGTTCATAGTCTTTAAGACTTGGTAGGATTATTTATTACTTTTATCCTTTGGAATCTTGAATATACTTGTTTTTAAATGAAAGTCTTCAGATCATATCTAGGTAAATTCCTCCAAGTCCTGTGTCTGAAGGATGTGGTACTCTTAGCAAAAGGGTCTTACTTTCAAATTCTATGAACCAATCAAGGATAATGGAAGTAGCCTGTTTTGTTTGGAAGAGACTCTTAAAACCCCTTACTAGCAACTTGAAGGGAAGTTTTCATGCCTGACACTGGGGCTATTATTAGATTTAGCCTTCTTCTAGGTCTATCAAGCACTCATCTCGAGATTGTGTTCTGTGCTCTGCCATTTGAAGTAGATTTCAGAGTTTAGAAATGCAATTAACATTTTAACATTCTATTTTTATCCTTAACTAGTAAGACAGAGTGTACTTACTTTTAAGCAGATAGACCAGTTACTGTGCTATGATCATTACACATTCTATGAGTTTATTGTTTTACTAAATTCTTCTCCCATATACTACATTCCTACAACAGTTCCCTTCCTTCTCCCCCATGAAAAGTTTCCCCACAACTCCCCTTCCCAGGATCCACCCCATTCTGTCCTTCCTCAGAAAGGAGCAGCCCTCCCAGGGACATCAACCAAACATGGCACAACAAACTACAGTAAGCCCAGACACAGACCATTATGTCAAGACTGGATGAGACAACCCAGTACAAGAAAAAATTGTCCCATAAGCAGGCAAAGGGGTCAGAGACAGCTCCCACTCCCACTGTTATGGATGCTACAAAGACACTAAGTTACTCAGCCATAACATATGCAGAGGGTCAGACCCCTATAGGCTCCCTGATCTCTGTGAACCTGCATGAGATCCAGTCAGTTGATTCTGTGGGCTGTGTTCTTGTGGTGTCCCTGACCACTTTGATTCCTCTGGTCATTTCTCTCCCTCCTCTGCAGGACTCCCCTACTTCCCCCAATATTTGGCTGTGGGGCTCTGCATCTGCTCCCATCAGCTACTAAGTGCAGACTCTCTGATCCCTTTGATGATCATTCTGCTAGATTTCATCCAGTTCAGGATGTGTATTTTTTGCAGCTCTTTGTGTACACAAACATGAAACTTTCTTGAGGGACCTCATTGCCTTTGATTTCAGATCTTTCTTCCTTTATAGAGAGATAAATATGAGTACTAGAGCATGTTACTCTACATCAGTATTTTCTTTCCAGAACTAAAATGGATCAAAACCTTTTTCATATTTCACAGAATTATCAGAGAATCCTAATTATCAGAGTACTCTAATCCCAGATGAGTGACTACACTATGTGTTTAGAATTTAAGCAAAGTGCAGTGGGGGATGAGAGAGGACTCGAAAGGGAAAAGATTTCTCAATAGAGTCTTTCATGACCATACTTCCTCTTACATGGTGTGCAGGAAAGAGAAGGTACTGCTCTCAGGGCATCATATTGAGAGTGCCAACATCTCTATTTCCTGAGCAGCTGCACAAAGTGAAGGCTGTTGGGGAGTGTGAAGGTTACAATGAGAATGGCCCTCATAGGATCTGAATGTTTGATTCCCAGTTGGTGGACTGTGTAGTAAGGGTCAGTAAGTATGGCCTCATCAGAGGAGGTGTCACTGCTGGTGGCTTGGGAATCTCAAAGCCACCATCCTCTCTCAGCCTATTGCTTATGATCAGAAAGAAGCGTTCACCTACTGCTCCGTGATTTTCCGCCTGCTACTATGCTCACCACAATGATGGTCATGGACTCACTCTCTGAAACTGTAATCAAGACTTCAATGAAATGATTCCTTCTATAAGTTGTCTTGGTGATGGTTATCTTTACAGCAATAGAATAGTAACTGAGACTGCAAGTCAGCATGAACTCTGTAAGATGGACCAGGTAGAGGAAGAATCTAAGTAACTTGTGGAGTGAGACTGAAGGAGTTTTTCAAAGACTACAGTCTATGCTCCTCATTTAGTCATAAATTTGCAGGCTAGTAACAAAATTTTGTAGGAGAAGATCAATCACTAAATTTTGTAAGATATATTGGTAGAGATAAATCCTGTCAGAATTTTCCTAGAGATGTTTTCTTTGAGAGGTTTTCCATTTATGGAGAGAACAGTATTTCTGTGGAACAAAAATTGACTCTGGCAATGACTTCCATCCTATCCTGTCAGAGTAGCTACAAATTCCAAGTTTTCTAGGACGTTGATCTGAAAGTTGTTGTTGTATTTTAGAAGGCTGAGTAAACCCAACTTAGAGAGGGCATACAGCACCCCCCCCACACACAGGGCCACTCCCCTCAGCCCTCCTGCACCTTTGGTTTTTGTGCAGCTTCCCTTGCAGTCTCCCTCGCTGTGTCACTCAGAGCACAGTAGTACAGGGCAGAGTCCGACAGCTGCACTGAGGACTTCTGCAGGTGGAAGGAGCTGTTGCTCTTGTGGAGAGTGGCGTGGAACCCTTGGTGCTCTGTCCTCTTGTTGTCTGTGGTGCTCCACAGAAGTCTCTGAGGGGCTTTGTTGAGATATTGTACATACCACAGAGGGAAAGAATTTGAGTAAGAAGCCTGATAGGTACAGTTCAGCATCACAGGTGACCCCTCTGTGACAGTAACCAGACCTTCTGTCTGGGTCACTGAGTCTCCATTGGTCCTCTCTGAAAGGAAATAATAAATCAATAAGGAGAAATCACTCTTCATACAAGGAAGTAGGTAAAACCTTCCATAGTTGTAAGAAAATGATATCATCAGCACTTAGGGTAAATGTAACTTACTGAGCATTAGCAGGAGCACCAGGACTGAGCAGGTGTCAGGAAGCATGTCCATAAAAGAAAATGACACTTGGTTCTTGAGTTCACAAAACTCACCAGGGTTGGTCTCCTCAGCACCTAATTGAAACTCATAAGTAAGGACTTCCTTCTGCACAGTAACAGTCTGTGATGCAAACCACCATCTGGATAAGACATTAACCCACCTGACAAGGCATCACCATCTGCTGATTTCTGTTCAAACCACAACACAGATGTCTGCACAACACATGGTGAATGAACTTGAAACCTCACCCAAAGGAGACAGGTCTCAAGTCCCTAGTGGGTGCCTGAAATCACCAGTGTTTCTGAACTATGTGTATCCTTTGGTATTTAGTGTAATGAATATACATAAAATAAGACACACACACAAACACAAACATACACATTTCTGATAACATTTATCTACTTCTTCTCATTTTATTAGTTCTTAGAATATATTATGCAATTGATTTTGATCATGCACACCTGCTCCCTTCAGACCCATCCACTCTTCACTACAAACCCATTTTCGTCCACCCATTTAAAAAATAAAATGCATCAAAGTTTGCATTACAGGATGTGCTATCCATATACACTTGGAAGTGCGGCCTTCACTGAAGAGTGGTCTATGCACTAGGAGATTTACCTTGAGAGAAAACTGAGTCTCTCTCCCAGCAGCTACCAACTTCACAAAACTTCTTAGTTAAAGGTAGGAATGAGCACCTTGACTTCTTGATCAAATTTTGTCTGATCTAGTCATTTGGAAAATATATGTGTCCTGTAAACCTCTGTGAGTTCAAGTGTGTAGCTGCCCTGCTGTGTCCAGAAAACACCGTCTCCTTGTAGTCATCCCCACCTATGGTTCTGACATTTTTTCCATCCCCTCTTCCTCAGTGACCTCTGGCCTTGGGAGGAGGTTGTGTGATGGAGATCTGCCATCTGGGGCTGAGTATGCTACAGCATCTTTTTCTCTGAAAAGCAGTGAGTTCTGATTATCTGTGGTGGCAGTTAAGTGTTATAACCGGGGAAAGGGAATGACAAAATTGTGTTTCAAATTTTAGAATGCTTTTTGAAAACAAAGGAAAAAATTGTCCAAAAGTTCTTCAGTTACTTGAAGCTAACTTTCTTCTTTTGTGTTTTTTTAATGTAGACATTATAGTTGGCACTTGCCCACTAACAACTGGCATATTCTCCATTGGAAACCTTTAACACAGAATGTGGATCAGCTCCAGGCTCTATGACAGGTTAGAGGACAGACTGCAGGTACCTGGGGAACATTGTGTATCTGTGGCACAGAAATACATGGCTGAGTCTTCAGACTGGACATCTGTGATGTGCAGGGAGAAGTGTTTGAAAATCTTATCTGGTAAAACTACCAGTTTTTCATCACACGTTCTTTCCATATTAGAATGAATGTCAACAATGAGCTTAGGATGCTCTCCAAGTCCTTGTTTATACCAAAAGAAGTTGTACGAGGTTCTGTCTACATATGTGCAGTTGATGACGGTGCTGGCTCCAACCTAGACTCTCAGGGTAGAAGGATTCTGTTCCACCTGTTCTCCTTGGCTCACACCTATGCAGAAAGACAGAAATAATGGAGAAAGTTGGTCAGGTCATCACTTTACCAAATTATCTTTTATTTTTTAAATAGTAACAGAAAAAATTTGACTAAAATAGAGTTCCTCCTGGATGTGTCAGAAATGCCCACAGATTATTCTTTGGCTCTAAAATCTTAATTCACCATGGTATTTCAGCCATAAAAACATGAATAAAGAAGAAACATATGTCTTTTTTATTATTTTCTTCATTATTCCAAATAAATTAAGGCCCAGTATAAATTGTGATGACTAGCTGGTCAGTTGCTGCTATCAGGATGTTGTTCTTTCTAAGGAACAACTCTACCTCTTGAGTCATCCACTCAGCCACCAAGACAAAGGCTGTGCTTCTGCCCTAAGCCTACACAATCAGCATGCAAGGAAGTGAGCCCTGCGTATTCTCTCCAGTGGATGAGGTCTACTACCTCACCTTACCCAGTGAGGCCTCTGCTTAAGTGTTCTCTGACCTGTGAGGAACTCAGACATATAACATACAAATATGTCATATCAAATGTGTTCTAGTGTTGAAAGGTCAGGAATGGTATTTGTATACACTAGTGAGCCTGTTTCCTGTCTTTAAATCTAACAAGGCTTATGTATAATGCTACCAGAGGAGAAAAGTAAACACCAAATCAGCTATAAATTCTTTGATCTACAGTAGTGATCTCCATACATGATGCAGTGGTATGATAAAGATGCAATTGATATTGTTGTGACCTACCACATTCTGAATGAACTTAGGGCATACTCCATGAAATGGAATTCATGCCTAATACTGCTTCAGTGGCCAAAAATATCATTGTCCAACTAAACAAATGCAAAAATATGATGACTTCCAATGACTTAAGCAGTTATTCTCTTCCTTTTTAGGTCAGAGGATAAATAGGTACATAGATGATAGATAGATATGTAGATATCATTTATAAATTATATATGATATAAAGAAAATTGGAGCAATTTCCAGTTTTTTGAATATGGGAAATTTTTAAAATAAAACTAACAAGAATGAAAGCAGTGAAGATGTTTTCTCTTGAAAGTCCATTCTCATAATGCTAGGTGAGATTCTATTTTGCTTGCATCTGTTCAGAGAATTATTTTAAAATGAATTTATAAACACATAAGGTCCAGTGAACAGGCTCTAGATATCTGTGGTTTTATATATAATGATTGATATCTAAAGATCTGGGACCTGGGACCCAGGAAATTCCACACAGTCACCTCTACTCCTTGCTTTGTAAGCGGATTGCTTTTTTATGTTTCTGGGATCATCAACATCTAGGCACCTTAAGACAAAGTAATTTTGCTCCAAAGCTACAAAGAATCCCTGCTTCGAAAAACAAACAAAAAGTAATTTCTAGGAGTCCTGCAGTGCCCCCTAGTGGATGCACACCCCTAACAAAAGTGACCTGAGGTCATCTCCACAACTCGCACTAAGCCCACCCTTTTCACTAGATCTCTTCCTGATGAAGGAAATGCAGATGGTAGGAAAACATGACTGTCTAGATGGAATTCTCAGAAGAAAAAAAATGGCTAAAAAAATTTCAAAATTGTTTATCATCATTAGCAATTAGGGAAATATAAATTAAAACAACTTTGAGATATTATTTCAGCCCAGTCAGAATATCTAAAACCAGTCAAATAAATACTGGGGAAGTGTTTGAGGGATTAGGAATCCATATTTACTCTCAGGAAAATGCATACTGATGCAGCTACTCAGGAAATGGGTGTGGAGAATCTTCTAAACACTAAGATAAGTCTTCCACATGGCCCAGCTAGGCTATTTTTCAGTCTGTGTCCAAATAACGCTATATCCTACTCTACAGACAATTGTTTAAAGATGTTCTATTTCTGCTATACTTACAGTAACTAGGAATGGGAACAACCTAAATTTCCTTCAACTGATGAATGGATAGTAAATATGTGGCTTCTATACACTATGGAGTATTCTTTAACGTAATGAAAAGCTGCATTATAAACTTTTCAAGTAGATTAATGGAACTAGAAAAAATATTTTAAATGAACTGACCAAGATGCAGAAAGAAAAATGCCACATATTCTGCCACTGAACTCTTAACTCTAATGGAAATTATAGAGATAAAATTTTCAAATCTTCAAATGTAAAAATATAACTTGGAATAACCACAGAAGCCAGAGAGATGCAAAAGAGAACATGTGGTTGTGGGAAGCGAGATAAACATAATTTAATGGGAGAAATAGAAAAAAATAGGGGAAAGGAGGTCAACATTAAAGAAGAGAGATGGAGGAGGTTGGAATTAGAGTAATCATGTTTTTAAAAGTTTTAAGGGGCTGGAGAGATGGCTCAGCTGTTAAGAGCACTGGCTGTCCTTCCAGAGGTCCTGAGTTCAATTCCAAGCAACCACATGGTGGCTCACAACCATCTGTAATGAGATGTGGTGCCCTCTTCTTTCCTGCAGATGTACATGTGGGCAGAACACTGTATACATAATAAATGAATAAAAAAATTTAAAAATGGAATCACATTAATAGCCACTTATTTAAAATGACACAAAAGTACATAAGTATAGGTATATGTGTGTGTGCATATTATACACAGTTCAAATTAAATGTTTCCACCTGTGCTGAAAATGCTTCTCCCAACAGCCATAGATATCTTAAAAATAAAAATACAAAACTCATTATCAGTCTTGGGAATCTCTCATTAAAGTTGTAGGTCAGGAAAATTCAAGAGATTCCTGAAATATTATAGACTATTACTCTTGGCCTTATTTGCATCCCAGCAATGCACTGAGTCTTTACTGCTGATGACATCATTTAAAATACAGCATCCGAAGGATCCCAGCTTGATCTTACTTGAAGTCCTGCTCCCTGATGACCAACTTTCATGGCACCAGAGGGTAACATGCAAGTTTCCAAGAAAGAGAAGCAATGAATTATCTTCCCCAGTTGCTATGCATAACAACTACAATGACCAATATGGTTTGAAAACCTAAGGATACAATAGTGGGACTCATATCTTGGTGGCAATGAATAGCTCTCTAATTGAACATAAGAAACAACTCAACAAGAGGAAAATAACGCCTAGAACTGTAAAAGCTAACTGCTCAGGGTTAGTGTAGTTAGGTATCTTGGAGGAGAACCTACAGCCACTATCTTACTAAACCAGCAAAATCACAAATTGCATTCTAAATATCTATCATTGTACCACGCATAAGTGTAGTCCTCAATCAAACAATAACTGCAATTAATAAAATGCAGAGAACAAGTGATCACATGGTGCTCTGCCTCAGCTGATCTATGTGGCTATTCTTTTTTTCCTCAAAGTTTATTAAAATGCAAAAGTCTCCATTTCTGCCCCTCCTCCCAACACCCTCCCACTCCTCCCACTCCCTCCCCTCCTCCCTCTCCATCCCCAGTAGCAGTCAGGGTCTCCCACCCTGCAGGCAGTCCAAGCTCATCTCCCCTCCCTCCAGATCCAGGAAGGTGAGCATCCAAACAGACTGGCTCCCAAAAATCCAGTAATATGCAGAGGAAACAAGTTCCAGTGTCATTGTCGATGGTTTTTCAGAAAGACTCCGGGCCAGCCACATTCAGAGAATCTGACCTCAATCAGAGAATCT